GCCGTGCGTGTCCCTCAAAGCAAGATAATGCCAGGCTGGCGGGAGGCCCATAAATATCGCATCGTGGAAGAAGCAGTCAGACGCAAGCCGCCTGCCGTCCTCCCGCGCCCCCGGCCCGAGCTCGCCGGCGCTGGCGCGGAGCAGGGCCGGGAACTCTGAAAGGCCTCCCGCCTGTCGTCCTTGCTGTCCTGCTGCGCAGAGAGGACTGGGGGCACAGGGCCGCGGAGAGGCGAACACGCCCTTCTTTCCGTCGACCCAAGGTTTCCTCCAGCCCGGGTTCTCACCGCTTCCGGAGATCTGCCTCCTCTCCTCCTGGATCGTTCACTTTCCCTTGCTCAGAACACTTGCAGACCGCGGCGCCCGGCAAAGGCCTGCGTTTCTCGGGCCAGCAGGGCTCCCGGCAATTCCGCCCCTGGGACGTAGTACCGCGCATCACCACTAGATGGCGCGGCAGGCACACAAAGGCGACGAACACCGCGCCTCGCAGAGCCCGGCTTTAACACCTCCGACCTCCGTTTACCAGCGCGCGACTGCGGGCAGGAACACGCTAGGAGAGCACCTCCATGAGCAGACGTCCTGTACACTGCTGCTCTGGGCACCATCGTTTTTCCCCGTCCGAACATTGTTTAAGTGAGGGGACAATGGGCCGTGCTTAAATCGGGGAGCACGATCTATAAACCCCGAGAAGACCCCATCACCGCAGTTCTCAGTACGGGTTGTTTTCCGCTGTGAGCGGCGAGACGCGCTCCTGGAGCTGACTCCACGGAAAAGCGCTTCATTCACGAGCAGGCTTACAGGCCTGTATTTGTTCGTCTGAGTCACCGATCTGAAGATAACAATACGCAGTACAACGACCGTCGTTAATTTCCTATCACCTTGCCTGAAATTCTGTATCGTTTTTGTGTTATGCTGTTTATGTCTTTGTGTTTGTTAATTTGTTTTTGTTCTTTTCTCTTTAAAATAAAAATTTAAAAAAAGAACTCAAGGCCAGGGTCGGGGTGTGTGTGTGTCTGTGTGTGTCCGTGTCCTGAGCTGATCCTGGCCAGGCTGCCACGAAGCCCACTGCCCACCGTGGCCCCGAGGCGGCGTGGTCTCTGGCGACCCACAGGTGGGAGGACACGGGGCTGGCACCACGGGCTGGGGAGTGATGGGAGCAGGCCCCCAGCGAGAGGCTGGCAGTCACCTGTCCACCCCGCCTCCCTGACCCCTGGGAGATGATCAGACATGTCGCCCTGCAGCACCCAGGACTTGTATTTGTGCAGGGCCCCTGGAGGCCGGAGAGCCACAGCAGAGCGTCCTGCCCTGGGCCTGCGCCCAGCCTCAGGCCTCCCTCCCTCCAGGACCTTTGCCTCGGTCCTCAGAGCAGCTCAGCCTCCTCCGAACCTCGCACCGACTGCAGCTGGGCCGGACTCCCACCCTCGGCCTGCCTCCCTGCAGCTGAGGACCAGGACCCTGCGCTCAGCCCAGCAGCAGGGTGCCCTCATCAGCGCCCTCCAGCTCCTGCGTCACAGGCTGGGCCCCAGACACCGGGTTGGCCACCCTCAGGGAACAGGGTGGCTGGGCTTCAGGGTCCCCTGTGTCAGAAGGTGGTGGGGACACCCAGCAGGGATCTGGATGGCTCGGACACAGTCACACTTTCCAGGGTCCCAGAAACTCTCCTGTGGTCTTGGTACTGTTCTGTGGTTTTTCTGTTGCTAGCATTTATAATTTTTAGTAGATAACTAGAAATTGTATGTATTCCTGGTCTGTAGATCATGACATTTTGAAATCTGCGTAGGTGCAGGGTGGCTACATCAAGCTAACACAGGCAGTACCACACATTCTTACCTTTTCCTGTTGTGTGTGTGTGTGTGTGTGTGTGTGATAAGACCACTTAAAGTACACTCTTTTAACAATATTAAGTATAAGTTATTAACTAAAGTTTTCCCATATCTGAGATTCTGCAGTTTCAGTTATCTGTAGGCAAATGTGAGCTAAAAACATTAAATAGAAAATTCTAGAAATAAACAATTCATACATTTAAATTGTACAATGTTATGAGGAGCATGATGAAATCTCTCATCACCCTGTGTCCTGCCCAGGACATGAGTCACTTCTCTGTCCAGTGGATCCACACTGTCTATGCTACCCGCCCATTAGTAACCAGTAGTTATCATCAGTTATCAGACCCACTGTCACAGTATGGCAGTGCTTGTGTCCAAGGGACACATTTTACTTAATAGTGACCCAAAGCACAAGACTGGCAATGGTATCACAGGAGGTGGCTATAACCATTCTATGCCATTACTGTTGTTAATCTCTTACTATGTCTAGTTTGTAAATTAGGCTATATTACAGGTGCATACAGTACTGTAGGCAGAAACAGTACATCGGGCCTCAGTGCTACCTATAGTTTCAGGCATTTGTGGGACATTTTGGGATGATCCCAAGGATAAAGGGGACCACAGCACACTCACCAAGTTCACAGTCTGTGTCTTGAATTTATCCCACCTGTCTGACTGAATATTATCCCCTTCCTTTAACAATCTTATTGTAATGGTGCTTGTTGCTTACTCTCAGCAGATATTCTCCCACCAGCTACACAAATAGTCACCAACACCTCCATTTCCTGTTTGCTTACCTCCAAGTTTGTATGAATGTGTCAGGGGAAATATTACATGTGTGCCTCATTCCTGCCTAGGTCTATTAAACATGAAAGTTACCCTTCCGGAAAAACCCAGAGGCCTGAAGGGCTCTCCTCTGCCCTCCGCCCCCAGCCCATCTCTGGCTCTTTGGAGGGGCTGTCCCTGCGAAAGCAAACACAGCCCCTCAGGACAGGAAGTGATTTCCTCCCACAGGGAGCTGTGTCCGTGGCTGGTCCAGGGCCCGGTGGGCTTTAGGGCTGGCATCGGGCGCCTGTGCAGGGTGGTGAGAGCAGAGTGAGCCTGGAGACCCTGCCCCTTAGGCAACCCGGCTCTTCCTGGTCTCCCTGGCCTTAGCCGGGCTCCTTATTTCTGTCAGTTCCAAAGATGGCGGGAAAGAACACAAGGATTGATCATCTTGCCCAGACAACTGTGAGAGGAATTTCCTGTTACCTCCCGCCCATGACTAATTTTTGCATTGTTCCCTGGCTGCCATCCCCTCTCCCTTCCTGAAGAATGAAGCTGTGTCTGTCACACCTTCTTCCAAGTATACATCTTCATTCCCTCCCTCCCGGCCAGCTCTTTCTCAGCAACAGGTAGGTAAGTGGGCAGGTGCATGGATGGATGGATGGATGAGTAGAGAGATAAGTATTTCCTTCTCAGGAAAAATCCCCAAACACAAGTCCTGTGCTAGGACCGCTCTCTCAGCCTCTCCTCGCCTGGCGGAATGTTCCTGCTGCTTAGGACCCTAGACACATCCGCACCTCCTCTCTCTCCTGCGGAGACTGTAGCCATTCAGCTGAAACTGATCTCCCTGCGGCCAAACTGCAGCAAAGTTAGGTGCTCATTGAGGGTGCAGCAGTGGCACTCAACCAAACCCATTTTCTTAGTCCACCAATTAGAGTCCACCCTCCTCATTTGCTTCTCTGGTCTTTCTTTTGAAACATGCTCCTCCCCAGGTGTTTTGGAAGTCTCCTCTTCCTCTCCCTGCCTCTAAAGTGATATTACTGTGACAAAATACCTGAGATAATAACTGAAAAAGAGGAGAGGTTGGTTTGGCTCAGGGTTCCCGGGGTGGCACGGTCTATCACAGTGGGACTGTGTGGAAGAGGAGGCTGCTCACTTCCTGGTGGCAGCTGGGAAATGGGAAAGAGAGACAGGAAGTTCTCACAGCCTCAATATCCACTTCAAGCCACGCCCCCAGTGACCTCACTTCCTCCCACTAGGGCCCTCTCCTTAAAGGAGCACCCCCTCCCAATAGGGCCATGAACCAGGCACCAAGCCATCCCCTTGAGCCCCATGTCCCGGACCGGCACCTCTTTACCCTCTCCTCTACAAGCTCAGCCCTCCGCGTGGCCTGGCACCACCCCAGGGCCTCTCCTGTCCTCCCAAAGAGTACTCGCAAGCCATAGGACCACCTGCCTCAGCTGGGGACCACGCTGCTCGGGGGTCCCAGAGGCTCCATACCCAGAGTCCAAACTGACGTTGCCAGCACCAGTTCCCACCCACACCTGGGAATCCCAGCACCTCAGGGTGCCCATCACCCATGTGTAAGGATGGGCCTTTCACAGGCAGCCATCTGACCTGTTGCGTGGCCTTGTCTCTGGCCGCCCCATGTGTACCTCCACGCCAGGTAAGAGGAGCCCCTGAGTTCGCCCGCAGGTCCGGCTTGGGCTGTGCTGCTAGGGTTTACTCTGCCTCGCCTGGCCTCCTTCAGGCAGCTGGAGACGGGCTTGCCATCTCTTCCTCCCTAGACCACTTCCTGGCCCGGTCGGGCGCCCCCATGGTACACAGCAACGCCAAGGTGCTCGGCCTGCTATAGAGCATGGAGTTCCTTGGATCCTGGTGTTCAGGGGACTCTGCGTCCACAATGCCTCGCACAGAGCTGAGCACCAGCTTGATCTCAAGAGGATGCAAGGCCAGAGGGGAACAGTGCTCAGCCCTGGCTCGGAGGCTTAGCAGCTGAGCGGCTGTGGTTCTCCTGTGTCCATGAACCCGGACGTGATTTTAAGTGAGTCAGTCCTTGTCACACAGTTGGTGGTTGGTCTCAGTCAGTATTATTTCCAAGTCCACTTTCTGTGAGGCTCTGTTGATGAAGCCCAAAGGGGAAATGGCTGGGCCCTGTGGAGTGGCTGGAGGGTAGGAGTAGGGGCCGGGCAGAAAGGACAAGAGAGTGGAGGTGTCATAGTCTGGATCTAGAATGTTCCCTGAAGGCTCATGTAAGGATGGCTTGGTGCCTGGTTCATGGCCCTATTGGGCCCTCCCAATGCTCCTTTAAGGAGAGGGCCCTAGTGGGAGGAAGTGAGGTCACTGGGGGCGTGGCTTGAAGTGGATACTGTGAGAACTTCCTGTCTCTCTTTCCCATTTCCCAGCTGCCACCAGGAAGTGAGCAGCCTCCTCTTCCACACAGTCCCACTGTGATAGACCGTGCCACCCTGGGAACCCTGAGCCAAACCAACCTCTCCTCTTTTTCAGTTATTATCTTAGGTATTTTGTCACAGTAATAGAAAGCTCATCAACAGGAGAGACAAGGCAAACTTTGGGAAAATAGACAATCGTTTGTGTAAGAAAATGTGTAAGAAGAGTAGAGACTTCCATCACTTCTTCCCTATGTCATTTTGGGGTGTGTGTGTGTGTTGTAAAGGCTACAATTTCATACCAGAAACTTGAACATGGTTCTACAAAATGATATAGATTTTATTCATCTACCTTAAATCTAGGTTCTTCATTTAAAAATCAAAGATTATGATGTTTCTTTTAAGAATTAATTTACTTCACACAAATTAAATGATGGTTTTAAAGGTTCTCCTCAGTCTCCTTTGGGAAGGTATTTATGTAAGGGTAAAACCTTACGATGATATCATGAGTTAGCACTGTAAGCCTCCAACTGCATCTTGTTGAACTTATAAAATAATTTTTACCCTTTCCCCCCTTGGCTACCCTAGGTAGCAGGATGCTAAACTGTAATGAAGTACGAGAAAAAGAAGTGGAAACTGAGTCAAACATCGAAGCAAATTAAAAGAAGTCACTACACAGATCTCTACTAGGAAGTAAATCAGAGATAAAGCTGTGTGGAAGGTATCTATTTCCCATAACAATCACTTTGCCAACTATTTTTCAGACTGAAGACAGTCCAGCCTACCAGCAACAAAGAGGAGTAATGCTTTTCATTTGGATTCACTAGACCAGGCAGTGCTGAGATAACTGCGGGTGTAAGGGCCTGCTCCCTTTTCCTCAGGGGACAGTTCTGTCGGGATGCGTAGGCTACGCTGCCTCCTCCCAGGGACAGATCACAGGTGGGGCGCCCCAGCCCGCCACGAGGACAGCTTGTCTCAGCTCGGCTGGACAGGTGGCTTCGGGAGGCTCAGCTTACCAGCAGCCACCCTGGGGCTTCTTGCTTATGACTGAATCTGCAGCCTCCTCTTCAACCCACAGTGCCCTGCGAAAGTCAGCACTGGCGGGTCACCAGGGGACGGGGTTGTGCCCTTGGCTTCCTCCTCAGGTCATCAGTGCATCCTCAGTGATATGGAAGGAAGAGCGGCACAGGGAGAATAGGGAGCGGTGACTTCAGCCCTTGAGATGCCAGGACACGGAGGGGTGAGGGGACCCTGTGCCCTGGCATGGGGAGCGGAGCTGTGGCCCGGGCTGGGAACCACACGATGGGGGGCGGGCATCCTGGGCTGTGCTCCCACTACCATCGCTCCCCAACAGGGAACGCTGCCTAGGCTCCAGGGTCCTTCCAGAAAGCCATTCGCTGCTAACCTGTTTTTCATTCCATTAGTATTCCTGAGTTCCACTCCCTAAGAATCAGTTAGGGAAAAAATAAAATTCACACTCATTGGCCCTCCGTGGTAAATCCATATGTGTTTTTCCCGAGTCCTTTGGTTTTTTCTCTGCTGCTCTGGCTGCTGCCCTCAAAAGACTCAGCCTGGTTCTGGAGGATGATGACAGTGGCTTAGAGACGTGAATATCGGAAGGAGGCCACTCGGCTGACCAACTTGCATATCTGAAGGTGTAACAGCACGGCCCGCAGACTCTGATGAGTGTAATGAATCTTGCCTGCTGATGATGCGGGAGGAAAATGTGTTCCTGTGTGCGAAGAATCGCCTGGTTCTCATTACCCCCCGGAGGCAGAGCCTGCGGAGAAGCCAAGTTGGGCTGCAGAATTCACTGATGAAGGACAGGGACTGAAACGGCGCCACACCATCCACCCTGGACTCCAGGGAAACCGTTCGCAGCCCGCTCCTCACCGACGCGCTCGCTCCGCAGGTTCCTTTCATGGAAAGGCCCCACACAGGGGTGACTGGGCTGCAGCCCCGATTGCCCGCTTTCTGATTACCCCACTCCCAGACAGACCTACCGGCCGTATCTGAACACACACAGAGCGCAGGACCCTGGACTCTAACCCGAAGGCCCGTTTCCTAGCTTTCTATGTGTGACTCTGTAATTGGGGAAAAGGTAAAACTTTTGTTTTAACTGACAAATGGGAATCGTGTGTATTTGTGGGGTACAGTGTGAGGCTTCCATCCGCACATGCACTATGGAAAGGTTCAGTCAAGGTCATCATCATACGCAGATCTTGCTGATTTATGCCTTTTCATGGTCTGTATATTAAAGTCTGTTTCAGCTATTCTGAAATGAACAAGGCACTCTTATCACCTGTGGCCACCACATAGCTCAGTGACACCGGAGAGGTCTGCAGTGGTTTTGGGGCCTGGACTGCTGCCCGAGCCAAAGGGCGCGCCCTGGGCCGTGCGGGCTGTGGGCGGGTCAGGGGCTGGGCCAGGTTCTTGAGGAGGCCGACTTGGCTACTTCCTGGGGGCAGCTGGGCTCCCGTTGTGGCCGGTTTCCGGGGCCTTCAGTGGCTGTGCCTCCCGGGTCCGTCAGCTGTGCTGTGGGACCATGGGCCGCCAGCGGGTCACGGACTTGGTCACGACTTGGTCACGGACTTGGCCACAGATTTTCCTGAGACATGGGGAACTTTCTGGGCGTGGCAGGCACTGGGCAACAGCATGGATCCCCATTAGAAAAGTGGTGTTTTTCCTTCTGGAGAGCATGGGGCTTTCAAAAGCAGTGGGCTCTGAGTCAATCTTCTTTAGACTGTGGGAAAGGTGGGTCCCTTGATCCATGCCGCCCTGTGCGGGGCACCGTGCAGCACACTCAGTGAGCATGGCCTCGCCACCCCACACCCTAGAAAGCCTTGGCTCCTGGGCTCGGGGGGGGGGCACTGGGAGACTGCGTGGCCCAACAGAAGCTGACGTCCGAGAAGAATGCCCTGAGGCATGGCGCAGGAGGGCTGGCATGATGTGATGCTCCCCTCCTGGCTGGTGGGGTTCCCTTGGCGGGTTCCTGGCTCCCACAGCCCCCTGCCACAGGACAGACATGGTGGGCATAGTGGTGCCCCTGGATAACTCTTGGACCACGCTGTGCTGCCTTTTCCGTGGACACCAGGGTTCAGCGAGGGCAAAGCCAGGCTTGAGGGTCAGCCCTGCCGGAGGCATGAATGAAGCCTTAGGGAGTCAGTACTTCATACAGTAAATATTTACTGTTTCCATGGGTTCACCTGAGAACCAAGGTTGACAGGCTCTCATTTCCTGTGAAAGCATTTGTCTCGAGGGACAGTGATATGGCTTCCTGTGTTGTGGACAGTGTCCATAGCCAGGTGCGGCAATGCAGGCAGCTGCGAAGCACCAGGGACGGGAGGACACACTAGAACCTCTGCCTGCCACACTCAGAACTGCCTGCCGCACTCAGAGCCTCTGCCTGCCACACGGGTCTGTCTTCTGCTGTGCTCGGTCACTGTCATCTCCAGCGTATCTGGCCAATCGCAAGTTCCTGGACAGAACACAGAGAAGCACCCTTGTGCCCCAGCTCAGCTCCCTGTACAATGCATGGGCCCCGCAGACATTTGTGGGCCTCGCCAGGGCCTTTATCTGTGTGGTGGTTCTTGGATGGCTTTTGTGCTGGCCTCAACTGTCCAGCCAGGAGGTGTCATGCAAAGCACGCCCTCTCCTGGTGATGGGAGTTGGACAGCAGCCTGCAGAGGCCATGCTGGGCCCAAGACAGCTGGGGAGAGGCAGATGCACCCGTGTTTTCAAGTCCCTGCCCAGGCTGGCCCCAGGGCACAGGCGTCCTTTTGAGGGAGCTACTGGCAGAGTCCTCCTCACTGCAAAGGCAGGAAGCAGGGTTCTGCACCTTGGAAGAGGGCTGCTACAGTGAGGGCTGGAGACGCTGGGGAAGGGACTCTCCAGACCCCGGCCAGCTGCTAGGCCCAGAGGCTCTGTGCTGAGCTAGGAGACGGCCGGACACACCAGTGCTGCAAAGCTGTCCACGGAGCCCTGGGGGGAGCAGCAGTGATGCTCAGGAGAGAGCCTGGGATAAGGGCAGGCAGGCGGAGTCGAGGCTCCAGTGCTGATTCAAGCCTTAACGCGCCTGGTGCCCGCCGCTGAGCCCTGGGTGGTGGGTGCTGTGGGTTTGGTTCGTTCTGTGTCTCGTCTTACACAGAGATGATAGCATGCCTTCTGCTCCCGGACAAAGCCGAGCCCACCCTGTTCTGGTGACCGTGGCCGGAGCAGAAGCCAAGGGTGCTCTGAGACCCCCAGGATTTGGGAAAGTCAGGGAAGCCAGGTACCAAGTGGATTCTGCCATCAGGGAAGCGTGGCCACAGTGCTTCATCTGCTATGACCCAGCAGACAGACATGTGACAAGGACAGGTGTCACAAGGGCCCCTCGCACCAAGTCTCCTGGGAATTTAGCCAACGGCATGGAGCAGGGGGTGGCGACAGGCAGCTGTTCCTCAGGAAAGAGGCGGTGATTCAGCCAAGGCAGAGCTGGTCTTCCCGCTTACTTGCTCCGTTTGACGCATCAGCCGTCTTGTCCCAGCAGAGCGCCACAGTGGATGAGAAGACGCCACAGGTACTGTGATCCAGTCATCGGTCACACGTGCTACCCTCCAAGCCGCTGGGGAAGCTGACAGGGTCCACGAGATGCTGATGAACGCCTGCTTCTAGAAGCGTCTAGCCCTTTCTGGAGACCCCCTTGGTACCTGTCTAAGCTTCTGTAGCCCCCTTTCCTCTGCTTAGCATTTGGATCTCGGAGAAGCAAATCATCATTTATTCCCTGTCTCTTTTACCCTGTCTCTTTCAGCTCAAAGACCAGGTTCAGGGAAGCGCACGCCCATAGCGCTCCCCGCCAGCCCAGTTTCACTGTAGTAACACTAAGGACAGTACAGCCCGCAGCCACAGACTCTTCGCCACTAGGAACAAAACGTCTCTCTCCCTGATACCGATTTCCAGCCTGCAGCTGCTGCACTGGGGACAGTGACTGACGCCGTCCCCTCCCGTGCTCCTAGTGTGTGCTCCCAGCGGTGTGCGCCCCGTTATCCGAGCGCACTCAGGCTGCTACCTGCTGTGCTGGGAGGGGCGCTCAGTGGCTTCCCTACAGGGTCCCCTCCACCTGCTGTTCTATTTTACAGCCCGCTTCCCTCCGTCCCAGCGACAGACGCATCAGCACGTTCTGCCACGCGCGGGCGGCAGCGGCTCCCATAGGCTCCTGGCACGGTGCATTAGGCAGCGGGCCAGCAGGTTCCATCCGAGGAGGCGCTCCGTCTCATTAGCTCCACCCCGCACAGCAAAACGCCTGGTCATCTAGGTTACAGCAATCAGGGCAGAATGGCTCCAGCTGCAGTGGGAGATGCACTAGATTCCGAGCTGCAGACGGTGCTGTTCTGTGAACCGTGGCGTTGTAAAGTAGGGCCGACTCCGGGACGGCGGGTGGGTTGAACCCGTGTGGGTTCTCCTGCCTTTGTTCTGCGCGGGAACCGGGGACACGCTTCCAGGTGTCAGCCTCAGATCACCCACTGTCTCAGTGAAGCTCTTCTCCAGGCTTAATGGCAAAACAACACGCTCCAGGGGTCATCAGAAAAGGCATTTTGCTCTGCTCTGAATCCTACTAGGGGCTTTAAGAGCCAGCTAGGATTGGAAAGCTGAGAAATCTTTTTATCTTTTAATTGAACAAACTGGGCCTGAGATAAATGTCCACAGTGACCGGGCTCGGGTGGGTGGTAGGAGATAAATTGCTCCACGAGGCTGGCCTTGATCCTCCATCCATTCAATTTTTCAGCAAGTCATTCATACTTTTCGCTGAGAGAAAGCTACAGGATCAGTGGGTAGACGATGGCTGCACTTCGCAGTGACAACCCAGGAATTGACCTCCGTGGGTGCTGCAGCTCAGCTCGGCGTGCTGGGGTCCACCACGTATCTGCCGTGTGCTAGGGCCGAGGCTGGTCCTGGAACCTCCTGGTTTGTGGGTGGGCGGGGAGGGTAGGCAGATGTGCCCTATCGGTACCACCAGAGGGGTGTCTGTGTCACTCGGCCCTCATTCTGCTCTGGGAGCCTCCTGGGGGACGTGGTACTGAACCGCGCCCGGCCTCTGCCATACACACCCAGGCTGCGGACGTGCAGGGCTGGGTTCTGGAGGGTGCTGCTCCCTGCTCAGCTGGCACGGTGACCGCATACCCATGAGGGGAGGGAGCGCATGGAAGTCAGGGTGCCAGCATGGGGAACCCTCTGGACTCACACAGGCCCATGGAGCTTCCATCTTCCAGGACACAATATGTCTGACAATCTGCAGGGCCCTCTCAACATGCTAGGAAGAGTTGACTTCCAGGCTTCTGTACATTGGGCAGGGCCTCAGTGGGCTGTGTGGTCCCTGCTTCCTTCCCTGAGGATGGGTTTCCTGTAATGGCGGCTCTCAGGATGCAAATGTCCACCCAGGAGGGCCAATGGGAAGGGCCTCACTTCCAGCAGAGCACCTCTCCATACCCAGGCCAGGGTGTGGCCGGAAACCCTGGGGTTTGCTTCCTGTGCACCCCCCTGCCCTATCTCCAAGTACACCTGACCACTGGGCGTCCTCCTCCCCTCCTTGCTGTCCGCTTTTGGAATAAGTGGCTGCCCATTTGCTCCATCCCCAGGCAGGCTGCTCAAGTGGTTTTCACCCCTCTGGCAGTGGGCTGTGTTCTCCAGGGAAAGCTGGCCTTGTCCACCCAAAGGCCGGCGCTTGCCTCAGCCGTGACTGGCCAGGAACCGGGGCCTGAGCTCCTCGCCAACCAGTGTCCCAGCCTCTGATGGGATCAGGGATGGGGACTGGCCAAGAGATTTCAGGGCAGGGCTTGTGGGCACTTAGAGCTGTTCTTGCTATTGAGAGTGACATTGCTGTGAGAGATTGAGAGTGCTATTGGGAGTTGCTATTGAGAGTATTCTTGCTATTGAGAGATAAACCTGTGAGTCCCAGGTTTATCTGTCATGTCACTAAAGGCGGGACTTCCTTCCCTTGACAGCTGAGTAACTCTATTGGATGTGTGAGGTGTGCTGGAAAAAATACAGTGAATGTTTAAATAAAAATTAAAACATTTATGGATAGCCAGGATAACTGTACTGCTGATGTCTATTGGTTTATGGAAAGGAACAGTTCACGCT